CTTCAATTCTGGGAGACTGAGTTTACATGTTTTCCAAATGGCACAAGCCTCCTAACAGTCCTATGAATCAATGGACACTTGGGAAATATTAATAAACAACTTTTTATGAACTATTACTACAAACAACTTCAGCAAGTGGGGAGAGAAAGTTTAGTGACCTTTTAGTAAACATTTTTAGCTTAACAGTCTTTGGGACCAGATCATTTTTTTAAAAAAACAAAAATGCTTATAAACACCATTGCCCCATATTCAGCTGGTGTACACTAAAAACAGGATGATGGAAATACATGTTTTTAAAGCATTTCCACAGGAAATGTTCATATTTTTCATGACATTCTAAATCATTTAGCAATTACAATGCTACATTAGCTAAAACACAAGTATTCTTTATTGCACATTTCAAAGTAGTAAGGAAGCTATAGATTAAAAGGTGATTTTTGTTTAGGGAAGAAATAACATTTCTGAATTGTTTGGCTCAAAACCGCATACTGCCAAGGCAGCTTAGTTCTAACAACAGATCTTTTAAAATAAACTTGGATTTTGAAGCCAATGAAATCCTTTACTGTAATAAATAATGCACAGTCCATTTTTTCTCCAATGAAACATCAGAGGTCATAGTTATGGGCTCCGATTTAAAGCCGGTGAACAGTCCTGACTAGTGCTGTGAGAGGCAGGAGGAGGCTCATCGTTTGAGCCTGGCGGCAGTACGTCTCTTCTGGCAGGTGGTGGTCGGTAATCCTGGGGAACATGGGTTGGGGGTGGTAATCGTGTACCAGGAATAAAGTACTCTCTTGGGCCAAGAGGACCTAAAGGCCTAAATGGTGTGTGTCCTGGTAAAAATTCCAGAGGGTGGAGTGGCAGGTCCCATTTTCCTGGTGCAAATTCTCTTAAGCCTAGTGGAGGACGCATACCAGGGCCTGGAAAACAAAAATTATGTCAAGTAAATTCCTAGGAACATAGCTAAATTAAGATAATGCCAGGTGTGTTAATATAATCTGTCATCATTTTTTTTTTGGAGGCAGGGTCTTGCCTGTCAGCCAGGCTGGAGTGGAGTGAAGTGATCATGGCTCACTGCAACCTCAATCTCCTGGGCTCAATTGATCCTCCCCCTGCAGATTCCGAGTAGCTGGGATGACAGGTGCAAACCACCACACACAGCTAATTTTTGTATTTTTTGAAAAGACAGGGTTTCACCGTGTTACCCAGGCTAGTCTCAAACTCCTAGGCTCAAGGAGTCCACCTGCCTCAGCCTCGCAAAGTGCTGGAATTACAGGCATGAGCCATTCTACCTGGTCTGTCATCTTTATCTTGAGATAGATTTGTACTTGGAAGTACTATGTACCATAACAAGAAGACACTCTAAATATGAATTCACTGCAACAAACATTTTGATAAATTCCATTGTTTACTATTGTATATTAAAAATTTATGTAGTAGCACAATATGTGCCTAATATATGCCATAAAAATCAAGCTGCTTGCCCTGCTGAAAAGATCTTCCAGCTTCATCTAATTAAATCAGCAGAATTCACTTGATAGCAGCTAAATTCTACCTTCTTTTTCATATCTCCCTCCTTTGTATTCCCCAAGGTGAGGGTTGAGGGTTTTATCTTTCCCTCTCTAATATTCTGTAACCCATTGCTTATGCTTCTGTTATGGATGATGAGAAGCTTTATGTTGTAGAGTGCATATATATGTTCCCTACAGGACATCTTAATAGGGGATGTGTTTTATCTACCTTGCTATCCATTGCATAACCTAGTACAAAGCCAGAGGTGTTCAAAAAACATGTGCTGAATATTACAGACTTTCTATAAGTGGACCGTTTCCTTGTTCTCTTACAGACAATTATTGTTGATCTAATCACAGGACATTATGCAGAACCCTTTGTGTCATAAGACACTTGGGGAGAAGTCACAATGAACTCAGGCAGCTTCACTGCTGCATTGCAAAGCCCTGCAATTGCAGTTGTTTTAGAAAGGGATATAGAGAGAAGATAACTATAGTTTGCAAGTTAATCACTACTGTTAAGATCATCTTACCAAAGGGTGGAGGAATTGGCCGAGGCCCAAAAGGGCCACAGAGCTGAGGCGGTGGTCCATATTGAATGGGTGGTGGTACAGGGCCTCCCATGGGGGTGCTCATAAGAGGGACTCCTGGGAAAGGAGGGGGCCCTTTTGGAGTCACATTAACCTGCAGAGTAGAAGCAATTGAAGTTTTCAAATACTCTGGTATGACAGACAAAAGCACCAACACCAGTAAAGACTAAAACCCAATGAAGCAGATGTCAGGCACTTGTCCAAAGAGCAGAATTAGGGCAACCACTACCGCTCTCATTTGTTCCCACTGACAGCTTAGAAAGGTTAAAAGTATGTCACAGGAGTGAACATTTTTGCCATAATCGTTATTATTGCTTGTATCTGAACATGGAAGGGAAAGCAGAGGTCATAAAGGGAAGTCATTCCTGACTAATACTATTTGTAAGGCAGTCACTCCCTCTGCACATCCCTCCCATCAGAATAATTTCCATATTTAGAATGCAGAGAATGAAAGGGAATGAAAAACCCATTCTCTACCATGTAATAGCAATTATTCAGAGTACCTTCAACAGGCCTTACATATGTTAACTCAAATTCTCCTGTCTCTAAATCTCTAATAGGACCATTTGTTCTAAATATGCAGGAACACAGGCACAGAGAGTATTAGATAATTTGCTGACAGTCACACAGCTTGTAAGGAGCTGGGCTGGAATTCAATTCCAGGTTTGACTCCAAGGCCATGTTCTTTCCACCTCTGCTTCTCCTCTCTAACAGAGTAGTCTCTACTCTCTCTGAAGTCTTCTACTTGAAAGGGCTCTTGGGTCTTATCCAAGTTGCCCTTGGATAAAAAGATTCATCAAGGGATGTATATTTCTCGAGTCATGTGCTGGAACTCCACAGTATGTTCCAAGAGAAACAATGTTATATACACCATTACACAGGCACACTCTATTTACCTTCATTCAGTAGTAATACCGTCTACTATGAGACACTGCCTAATCATTTCCTATGGGAAAGTGGTTTGGAAACTCTCAATCATTAAAATAAATGTACTTTGATTTCAATACAGAGAAGCATGGTGAGGTATGATCAGAGGACTTACCCGCCTTAACAGTTAAACAAGTTACAAGAGAATACACCTATGTGAACACTGTTTAAGGACACTGCTGAGAACTGGCTCAATGGGAAATTACAAACTTCCACTATTCAGTACTTCACTTCCAACAAACATTCTTCTGTTATCAATCTGTAATTTCAGATCCTTCAAAATAGGTTTTGCCTACTATACAGGTAGAGATATTCTTAAATAGTCCATTTTCAAATGAAGACATAAGAATGAATTATACAATTTACAATGAATTTACTTTGCATAAGAGCATTAAACACTGAAATACAGAAGAGTGGGGACGTTTTTCACTTTTGTTTAAGTTAATTACAGTTACAGCAAATGCTCTACACAGGTTAAATGTCTAAGCAAACAGGAGAGAGGAGAAAAGGCCAACAAATCAGTCAGATTTCAGCAGCACTCCCAAGTCAAGGACAAAAGTAAGATCAATATCGCCAGGCAATTCATAGCCCAGTTCGGTCCACACTTCTCAGTACTTACTGCTACTGCATGCTCAGCTGAAGATGTAATGCTGGGAACTGAGGGGACTTCAGGCTCTTGGAGAACAGTTTACTTTTTCAGAAAAATAAATGAGGCAGTAGAGACAGAACACACAAATAGGAGGTGAAGCAAAGAGAGAGTTGTAGGAAAAGCTAAATGTTCTTGAAATAGCTATTCAAAATGGGTACATTTACCTTGCCTTCATCCATCACCCTGGTAGGGGAAGAGCCTCTTGAGCTGTTGTTCATCATGGCAGCTGTACCAGATCCTGGATCTGTTAAAGACCAGATAGCTTGACATAGGCTTATTCTGACATGTGTACTCTATGAGGAAGATTGAAAAAAAAAAAATCCTCTCCCCACTTGCTGCAAGGTTTTAGACTCTTTAGACGCTCTGGATCCCTTACCAGAAGGAGAGTGCTTCCCAGATGCCTCAGCTGCCCATTGAGGATGAGACAGAGGCCCGTCCACAGACCCTTGTGAAAGAAATAACAGAGCCCTTATAAGTATTTTTCAGAAGAAATAACAAATTGTAGACCAGATAGGATTCAAGTCTATCTGGAAAGCAACATTAAAAATGGGTCTCCCGATACTCATGAAGACAAATCATTTATTATTTATTCACAGACATAAAGAATTAAAATAAGAAATGCCGGGCGCAGTGGCTCACGCCTATAATCCCAGCACTTTGGGAGGCCGAGGTGGGTGGATCACGAGGTCAAGATATTGAGACCATCCTGGTCAACATGGTGAAACCCCGTCTCTACTGAAAATACAAAAAATTAGCTGGGCATGGTGGCACGTGCCGGTAATCCCAGCTACTCAGGAGGCTGAGGCAGGAGAATTGCCTGAACCCGGGAGGCAGAGGTTGCAGTGAGCTGAGATAGTGCCATTGCACTCCAGCCTGGCTAACAAGAGTGAACTCCATCTCAAAAAAAAAAAAAAAAAGAAAGAAATGCCTTGCACTGAAAGATAAATAAACTCTGCTCATTAATGGCTCTGATCTACATTTCAAGCTACAGACTTCTATATACATTATTCTACATTGTGATTTTTACTCAGTGTATATGTAGTCCTACTTCCATATCTTACTATTATAGACATATTTAGGATTCAAATTGACCCAACAGCATTTCATACTATAGTAATGAGAAGTAGAAACATGTATGTCTCCTATAAAGTTATTAAGGCAAACACAGTTGATTCTTGAACAATGCAGGAATTAGGTGTGCTGATCCCCAGTGCTGTCAAAACCCATGAGTAACTTTTGACTCCCAAAAGCCTACCTACTAGTCAATAGCCTACTATTGACCAGAAGCCTTAGCAATGACATAAACAGTTGATTAACACATATTCTATATATATGTGTGTGTATATATATATATATATATACACATACAGTTTACTGTACTCTTGCCTTAATAGAGTAAGCTAAAGGAATTATTGCTGAAATTTTAAGAGGAAATGTATGTACAACAGTGTACTGTACTTGTCTATACTGTAAGTGTACAGGATCCGTTTACAAGATGAATCATCTGACAGAAATGACAGATAACTGCTGCTGCATACTCCATTCTATGGTGTATATCAAAGCAATTCAAATTTTCTAGTAATATCATGACGTTGCTTCTTGAGAATACGTTCAGCATCACAAGTGTCATTTTATATGGGTCAAATGGTGTTATTCAAGGTTTATGTTATTCCACTAAACATAAAAAGTACACAAGAACTGTGAGAGATTATGTTTACA